AAAACAGTTATCAAGCAAGAATTACAGTTACAATATTTAGTCTATTTATATTTGGCAAATTTAAAGAAAATATTCTATCTATCCTATATTTGTGAGTCTAAGGTTTCATATTTATTTATCCTTTATCATTACCAAGGAAAATTATAACTATCTAGTCTTCAACTACATCAAAGACCCCAGAAGGCTATAATATTACCTAAGTAAACAGGAAGAGCATTGTAGGCAACTTCCAAAAATCTAGAATGACAGAGACAGCTGTCTACCTGGACAGTCATTCAAAGTTCCTCTGTAACGTTGGGGCATCCATCTTCAGCCTATAGGCCTAGTCTCTCAGTCACTTCTCTCTGTGTCCTGTAGAATGTCTGGCAGTCTCCTCTGTGAAGCAGGAACCTGAAGGACCATTTTGCCTTCTTTTGGCAAATTCAGTGGTCATTTTTCCATGGGTCCTATAGGTCCAGTCGATACAACATTTTGTCAAGCAGTCCAGGCAAGAACAGTTTTTTGCCCAAATGGCTATTTTGTGCCAAGAAGAAGATAAACTCCATGTGGAGTGTCTTCAATGACCATCATCTTCCTTGAATTAATTGGTACTGCCAGGAGCAGACACATCTCATTGTCCAGAAAAGTCTAAGTTTTTAAAACATTTTAAATGCTATATTCTGTAGGTCTTTGAAGTGTTTGAAGATTACCTACCTAACTGAAATATATCTATATATATATCTAGAAAACTTAACATTACTATAAGTTTGATTATCATAGATGACTAATTATTAATCTGTATTTCTTAATTATACATTATAATTGCAAATGAGCTGTACAAACATAATACCTTAAACAAGAGTAAAAATATATATAGTATAACAAAATTAACTTTAAATTTGTATCAATAAACTAAAATTCATAGCAATATAAAACATTTCAAATAAATTGTTATTCTTTAAAAAGAAATTCAATAATCTCTCCTTTTATCCTATCATATCTATATCCCATATTTCCATATCATATCCCCCTTTTTTCTTTAGAAAGATATTGACTATGACCAATAACAATTTGTAACCAACCTCCTAAACAAAGACAAACATCCATAATCCATTTTTTTGGGAATGTGGGCATAGTGTTCTAGGCTACTTCCTGCTAAGTGTGGGCGCTGGTAGTCTTATGGGGACACAAAGAAAATTTCAGGATTATGGTCAAGTCCTGACTGGAGTAGTCTGTGAGGCTGTATTCTCTGAGGCAGTTGCCTTGAAGCTGTTCTGGATGTTGGATCATCTAGAAACCTCCCAGGGGGTTTTGACTGGTCAAACCACATTAGCCTGGAAGCAATCCATAGGTTCTCATCTTCTGTGGAAACGAAAAGTAGAACCTCTTTTCCAAAGCAACATATCCTTAGACACAAATTTTGAAGTCAAGATACCTTTAAAATATACATATTGGTTTAACTGAGTAGCCTTTACAATCAAATGTCTCTTTGCAGTTAAAAATCCCAAAGACGCCGGGCGGTGGTGGCGCACACCTTTAATCCCAGCACTCGGGAGGCAGAGGCAGGTGGATCTTTGTGAGTTCGAGGCCAGCCTGGTCTACAGAGCGAGATCCAGGAAAAAAGGCACAAAGCTACACAGAGAAACCCTGTCTTAAAAAACCAAAAAAAAAAAAAAAAAAAAAAAAAAAATCCCAAAGACTCTCTGTGTGATTTCCATCTTTACATGGCTTATTTTTGTATTACTTTTACTGTCTCTTTAAAAACTTAGTTTTTAAAACTATCTATTTGTTTATATAACTGCATATATTTCTTTTTCTCTCTCTTCCAAGCCTGCATGCATTTTTATACATAATGTAAACCATTTAGAGGTTTATTCCATCTGAATCCATCTTATTGTGAATCTATTGCTTTAAACTGAAGAGTGGCTAGGATAGAAGTGGCAGCCTTAGCTGCTGACTCCATCCATCTCAGCTTCCCATCATGGCAACTTTACGTTTACCACCAGCTCTAGGAGCCCTGTTCACCACTGACTCAGGGAACCAGTGGTTCTATGCTTCTAACAAGCAGTGTATAGCCCAGAAACCTTTTTTTTTTTTTTTTTTGTCGGTAGTAGCAAAAGCTAAATCCATCATGCAGTGCACTGTGTGACTTGGAGATGTCACTCTGTACTGTGGCGGGAATCTGCCATGCTGCTTAGCTTATGGTGGCTGGTAGCCAGCTTCATCTCACAGGCAGCTTTTAGGAGATGAGTCTCTATGCTGCTACTGGCATGAGACTGTGAGACTAGGAAGCCTAGTGTGGCTCTATTTCTGTACGTTCAGAATCTTTAAGCTTTCTTAGATCTATGTGGTGTGTGCCAAATGTAGTCAGAAGTTTTCCTGTGTCCCGCCTAGTCCTGCAGCTGCTCAGACCCAAATAAACACACAGAGGCTTATATTAATTATGAACTGTATGGCTATGGCCTATGGCTCAATTTTCTTGCTAGCTAGCTCTTATAACTAAATAGCCCATTTCTATTATTTTACATTGCTATGTGTTCCATGGCTTTACCTGTGTGACATTACATGCTGCTCCCTGGATGGTGGGATGGCGTCTCTTGCCTCTCCTTTCTCCTTTCACTATCTCCCTTGGATTTTCCTGCCTAGCTCCATCCTGCTTTTCCATAGGCCAAGGCAGCTTTATTTATCAACCAATCAGAGCAACACATATTCACAGCATACAGAATGACATTCCACAGCAGAGACCTGTGGTTTGATCTGAAGGCTGGCTGGGTGGAGCAACTTCTCTAAGCTCCAGACTGAGGCAGGTCTGATGGCTGCTAGCCCATGGCTGCCTTCAGTTCTTCACCCTATGGGTCTCTCATCAGGGAGCATGGCACCTGACACCCCCAGCCTGAGTGAGGAGAGAGCATGAGAAAATCCCAGAGAATGGAAGCCATGGTCTTCCTGTGAATTAGCCTGAGAACTGACATTCTTTTGATACAACTTTTGATGTATTCTGTTCATTAGATGGCAGCCACTAGGGTGAAGGCCATACTTAAGGGGAGAGGAGAGGGTGGGATTATCACGAATCTTACAGGCTGCCAAGCAGAGGCAGTGTCTAACACCTGCCAGGCTGTGTCTGTCTCTAGGATGGGAAGCCACTATTCTCTGTTCATGCTGTTTGAGAAGAGAAATTTGAAGTGATGCTGTATCATTTTAGAGAATGGCCAAAAGGAAAATTTGAGCAAAAACATGTCTTTGATGTGAGAGAAGAAAGAAAGGAAGGGTGAGATTGTTTGATCCAATAATACTTTGGATGAATTCCCAATGACAGTCATCTGGGACAGGGCACTATGTCCCTGGCTGGCTTTGGCCCAGGGCACTGTGTCTTCCCTTGGTCCAAGAAGGGAAATGTAGGAAATGCTGATGTTCTCTGTCTCCATGGGAGGCACCTGTTCCATATGCTCTACTAACTGCTCTCCTTGCTGCTTCCAGAATATCCAAGGCTTAGGTGTAGGGTAGTGCCTCAGATTCTCAGGTGTCCCCTGGGGCAACAAGAGAAGTGACTGCATTTTCCTGAAGTCAGTTCATCTCTATAGTTTCCTAAAACTCAGTTGTACCCATGGCTTGCTAGACTGCACCTGAATTTCAGGGAGGTGTAGGTGAGCTCCCCCAGTGACAAAGGGTCAGCGGGTGGCCTCTGGTCTTCAATTGTCCTTGGTTCAAACTGGCAGCTATCTACAAGTCCTCTGCCTCAGGTCCCTGGGGTCTAAGGGAGAGTCTGTAGTTCTCACTGTGGGAGGTGAACTCTCATTATGGGCCTCCTCCTGAGATGAGAGGCCATGTGTGATGTATCCCACTTGCTCTAAAGTTTGTAAAGACTCTGAAGCCTGAGGCTGCCCAGGGACACTCATCTTGACTTTCTGTGCATCCATCTGTCTGTGCAGCTGTCTGTCCTCTACAGACACTGCTCTCACAGAGAGCCTGGGGCAAGGTGTACAGAGCTTCCTGACTGGGGATGGTGGGGGTTCACCTGGCCTCTCTGGATACCACCCTTGAGTCTCTGTCCTCTTCTTCTCATCCTGCCCCATGTCTCTCCCTCATCTCTCAAATTTCCTTTTACGAGAGTTGTTTTCTAGATGGTATGGAAAGCATTGCTATGAGAATTCATAGATATCCCCAACTTCTGTGCCTGGCTTAAGTATTTTTTGTGTCCCTCAGGCCAGCACTGGAAAGTCAGAAGGCAAAGGAACCTTTATCTCTCTGCCTTCTTAGGTGGCAGGCCTCTCTGGAAGTGAGAGTCAGGGTGGGCCTTGGTGGTAGAGCATAGGAAGTGGTGAATGTGTGTATGAATGTGAGTGTGTGATTATGGGGTGCTTGAATGTGTATGAGTGTGTATGGCAGGAGTATTAAACAAGTATGACAGGGTATGTGATGGGCATGTAAGGTGGTGGTCTTGGTAGCATCTGATGGACATTTCTTGCCACATAAAGACCTCATGGTTCTTCAGATTTCAACAGGGTTGGGTGGAAATCACTCAGGCAAGGGCTGTGTTTCCAGAGTCCCAGAGGCTAAAAGTTGAGCGGAATGCTCATCAGAAGCAGCTCTCAGAGAAGTGAGAGTAGGCAGGCCACACTTGGTGCCCCCTACTGTGTGTAGCTGTCAAGCAGTGGCTCATCAGGAGGAGAAAAGACCAGAAAGACTGGGGGTGCGGAGTGGGGGAGCAAGTAATGTAGGATCCTACTATCCCCAGGCCTCAGTGCAGCGGAATAAGAGCCCCGATTGCTGCCCTGTGTGTAGAGGTTCTCTGCCTTTCTCTGGCCTGAATGGTGCTGTTTGAAGTCCTGGAGTTGGTGAGGATGTTGGGGTGAACTCTTGTTTGTACACAAGTCACTATTCTGAAAGCCGGGGCTTGAGGGACTTCACAGCTGCACAGAAAGAGGAAAGAGTTGAAGATTTACAAATAAAATGCTGTAATCAGATATCTGTCTCTCACTGTCTGTCTGTTTCTCTTTCCTTTTCAGCAGGAAGGATGGGACTTGAAGCTTTGCAAATGTTCTACTGCCCAGCTGCATCACAATCCTTTACAGAACTGAAGTTCCACTTAAAATCAGAATTCAGACTTTGGTTCTGATAGGAGGGTTCATGCTTATGATTCTCGCAGAAGGGACTCTTGGACTGTGTGACTTATGATCTTTGCTTCCTACTTTAAGTTTTCGTGTAAGGTCCTTCCTTGGATTTCTGTGAGCCAAGACCACTGAGTGCATGTTTGATGTGTTCTCCAACACTTCCAGGACCACGTGGCTGCACTGTCTTGACTTTCCATGTAAGGAGAGTCAAGCGTGGGGAGGCTTCTCCAGGCCACCCCCCCGCCTTCCCCACCCCCATGAGGAGGCTGGAGAGTTGGATGTTCCCCATCATCTGTGTTATGCAAACCTCTGCCAGGTAGGGCTTCTGCGCAATCTTCACCGGGATATCTGATTTGGGGAGATAGGGACCGTGAACATGGTAGTCGATCAACAACATTTGGGTTGACTACACAGTTAGAGTTGAACCGGGAGGTGAGGTAATTGAATCTGAAAAGAAGTGGTTTTGTGTTGAGGCGGAGAGCCTGTTTTTAACTGTAGTGTTCAGTTAAACCCTGATATCAGAAGGAAGTAATACATGACCTAGTTGCTAGGAAGACAAAATCGTGACCCACCAAAGGCAACAGTGGGCTTCTGACAAACGCTGTTTCTTCAAACAACTGTACTTTAGTATTATGAGTTATTTAATTTCTCCTTCAACATGAAAAACAATTCAGATCTGATTGCATCTTTTAAAAATGTCAAGTGTGATCGTTAACCATTTTTGTATCATCTCTGCTGGTGGGAGCCAAAGGAGATGAATAAACACATCCCAAGTCAGTGTGTAGCTCTCCAGGGGCCCTTCAGAAAGACCTCGGCCACTCTTCTGGGGAGTGCCTGTGAAATGAATGGCAGCTACAGTAAGAGGGCTGTCAAGGCCAGCCTGGGCTACATGAGACCCCCTGTCTCAATCAGAAAAGAAATAGAGGGAGAAAATAATGGTTATATGAAGTTTCTGCTTAGCCAGAAGGGCCAGGTGGCTGAGGGCCAGACCTTGTGCTTACTTAATTCATCCTTAGTAGGAGTCTCTGTGTATTTGGGGTGGGGAGGATTCCCAGTTGGTCACTGACTGTCCCTGCATAGTTTCAGGTCACTGCAAATCTGTTTTCTGCATCTGAAAATGGAGATTTATGGTAAGCCTTTATAAGCGTTTTCTTGGGAATATGCAGATGAAGGTATTGAAACAGAAACCAAAATATACAAAAATTCTTCTCATCACACAATCCTCCCCACATGACATTTTGTCGAAAGGGCCAATGTACAACATCGATTCTGTGTCTCCAGGTGCCACATAAAGCAGTCACTGGCCACCACAGCATGTGGGCTGACGGTTTTATTTGTGATGTAAGCGCATCTGCCAGTGATTCTCCACAGCGGCTTCTGCATTGCGATGGCAGAACTGAGTTGTGACTGCTACCTCTGCCCCAGCCTGCACAGCCTAAACTGTGTATCCTGTCGCCCTTGACAGAAAACACTTACTGACCACTAAGGGAAAATATAAACACCGCCAGTGTTCTAGAAATTTATGTCTAAATATCCTCCGCTTGAGCTGGCCGGATAACACACAAGCATCAGGCAGAGACACGTGCAGAGGCAAGTCAACAGTTTTCCAGGAAGCCATCTCCCTCTTCACAGTGGGTGGTGGGGTGGTGAGGAGAGGTCCAGGAGAAATCCATGTCTTTCACCAGACCCAAGGCTATGGGAAAATTCACCTCCATGGCATTCCTCATCACTTTCTCTGCCTGATGGCCTGCCTGGGCAAGTTAACAAACAAACAAACAAACAAACAAACAAACAAACAAACACATCACAGAAGGAATTTCTCTGTTAAGTGCCATGTTGTGGGTGATGAAGGTTCAGAGCTGTGTTTAGCCCTAAATTATCCTAACAGCGGTTTCTCCAGGGAGCCATTTAAAGTGTCAGCTCTTTTCACCTTCCTAACCTGAGATCATTTCGAGTCTTGAGGACTTCGTTTAAACAACATTTATTACGACTTGTAACATGAGGGTACAGGTGAGAATGATAATCCACTCATTCTCAAACTTGAGGCATGGGAACTGACACATAGGGACGGAAAGGGAAGTCAATGAAAAGTTGAAGCTGTCCTGTGTGAACAGGACAGTTCCAATAACTATCTCCTCTTCCTCTTTGCCTAAATTTGGCCATGCAGCCATAGCATTGGCTAAATGAACTCATAAAACGTTCCAAAGTTGAGAAAAAACTGTATGAAGATGAAATTTAAATGAATTTTCAGTATAGATTGTGTATAAGACCCATAAAGATTTATTGCCCTTATTTCAAACATCATTGAAATTAGACTTAATTATCTGTGCAGTTTGCTGGAAATAGCATTTTTGATGAAGTATATGCCATTAATTTTAAAATAGAAATGTACCAAGCTGGTTTTCTTAAAAAAAAATCCTTAAAAAATATAATTTCTAAGTGTTGTCCTTGAAAAAGCCCCTCTTTTCCCTTCCTCATCCCACAGTCTTGCCTCCCCTAACTCTTAATTTGGCGGGTAACCTTTTGAGTTCATTTGCTTGTTTTCTGTTGGACCGCAGCAATTTGAGTGGCCACACGGGTTCAAGAGGATGCCGAGAATGCTCCCACAAGAGGGGGAAACAGCTTGCCTCCTCAGTGAGTTTAGACTTTGAAAGAACATAGGTTAATGGCTTTTTATTAGTGGACTTTTCTCTAGGGAGAAGGAATCCTGTATTTTCTCAGAATATGCCTGTGTCTATACCACACGGAGGAAAGCCGAAATTTATCAAGTTAATTAACTTGGCTGTTCCTACCGAGTAATCAGATTCTGCCGGTCCCTTTTTATGAGGGCTCCTCTCTCAAGGAGACCGTGTGAAGGCCACATGGCCAGAGCTCCGGTCAGCACGATTTCTTTCCTCACAGGAATGTTCTTCGCAGGTGTGAAATGCATCTGCCGTCCAGTCCCCTCAACTTCCTGATCTGTATTTCTTCTAGAATCTTCTCCAAGGCTCTCGAAGAACACCTACCTTGAGGTTTCGGCCTGTGATCTGCCTACTGTCCTGCGCCTTTGCTGAGTGTTTCTGGGCCTGGCTAACCATCTGTCTTTGCTGTCCACCTAACCAACTTCATCCCTTGTCAGGATGTCCTGGTCTCTCCCTGATTTCAGAAGCCAGACCAGTCTTTACTCTCTCTCATTATATATATCTCAATATATATCTCTGATAATATTTCTCTTTGTAGTCAAGGGTTACCAGACACCATTGAGAATCCCTTGGTGGGGCTGGAGAGATAGCTCAGTGGTTAGGAGGGTATACTGCTTCTGTAGAGGACACAGTTCGGTTTCTAGCACCCATGTCATGTGACTCACAGCTACCTGTAACTCTAGCTCCAGGGGATTCAAGCCAGGGGCTTGGGAGGACGGCAGGGGAGGAGGAGCAGCTCAGGGTCAGAGGGAGCAGGGAATGCTGCACGATTGAGAAGCGAAGGCCTGCTCCTTGGATTCAGACGTGTCTTGTCACACTGGACCAGTTTGAGACCAATGTGTTTAAGGGATTGGACATGCCCTTGAGAGCTCATCCTACAGGAAGAGCCAGAGAGGCAAGCTTGGCCAGAGTCAGACAGGAATAAGATACTGATGAGCTTATTTCTCGAGTTTGTCTCCCAGTTTAGGATTCTGAAGGTTCGTGCTGTGTGTGTGTGTGTGGGTGTGTGTGTGTAAGAGAATGGAGATGGAGGACAGAGGAAGAGGAAGAGAGAAAGAGGGAGGGGTAAGGAGGAAAGGAAGGGGGAGGGACAGGGACTATGTTCCCATGAACTTGAGTGAAGGATGGAAACTGAACAGAGTCAGTCAGTAGATCACTCTCGATTGCCCTGAACTGAGTGTGGCTGTCTTTGCTGTGTGACTACTGTTCTTCCCACCAAGGTCTGACTTTCTCATCTTACCCTCTTAGCACCTCGAATTTGGGCTGGTCAAATGCTGATATGCCTTGAGCCACAGAATGTGGAGGAAGTGTCGGTTTGTGACTTCGGTTTCTGTCCCTTGGAGTGCTGACCTGGGAAAACTATGGAAGACCCAGGCTAATATGGGGCTCTGTACAAGACAACCGGGGTGCCCAGTGGTAACCAGCATGAGCTACCAGACACATCGGTAAGCCTCCAGGCCTACAACTTTGTGCAGTTTTGGAGAAAGCCCAGCAAAAGCCATAGGAGAAATCACCAGTCTACCCACAGACGTTCAAAACACAGTCCACCTCTGCTGTTAAATTACCGAGTTATGGGACTGTTTGTTATTCCACAAACACTAGCTGTATCAAGCTGCTCTACTAAAATTGCTGAAAGATATTTGGAGACCTATCATGCATAATACAAGGAAACCGTGAATTAGCAAAGTGTTCTGAGGATGGGCTGGCCACTCAGCAAGAGAATTCCTCTAGAGGGGACAGGTTCATAGTGGCTAGCTTTTGGGATGGGATGGGTGATTTTTGTTGTTGTTGTTGTTAAAGATACTTGGCATTGTTTATTTATTTATTTATTTATTTATCTATTTATCTATCTATTTATTTATTTATTTATTTATTTTGGTTTTTCGAGACAGGATTTCTCTGTGTAGCTTTGCGCCTTTCCAGGAACTCACTTGGTAGCCCAGGCTGGCCTCGAACTCACAGAGATCCGCCAGCCTCTGCCTCCCAAGTGCTGGGATTAAAGGTGTGCGCCACCACCGCCCGGCCTATTTATGGTTTTTTAAGACAGGGTTTCTCTGTGTAACTGTGACTGTCCTGGAACTCTCTTTGTAGAGCAGGCTGGCCTCAAACTCACAGAGATCCTCCTGCCTCTGCCTCCTGAGTGCTGGAGGCACAGGCATGTGCCACCACTGCCTGGCTGGGATGGGTGATATTTTAAGAGTTGCCCTGTGGCAGAAAGAGAGACCCAAGTGCCTCAAGGTAACTAGGGTTCTATCCATGAAAAATCAGCAGGTGCTGGATGGGGAAGTGGGGGCAGAGCGGAGGACCTTTGCAGGGTTGCGGTGGCTTGTGACAACTGGCCGATTGAGGTGATACAAATGCCCCAGTTATACATGAGTGCCCCACGGGTGACTGGGGTCGACACAGTTCCAAATGTGTTGAGGTTGCGAGTTTCTGACACTGTGTTGACTTGGTGATTCCATTGAAGAGAAAGCTCATTCTCCTGGTTAAAGCCAAGAGGGCATCAGAGGGCTTATTAAGAGCTGGGCAAGAACAGGGGCACTGCTGAGCCCCACACCCCAGACCATGGTGCTTATTTGTCAATATTTGTGAGACACCTCTGGAGGTCACCAGAGCTGACTGTAGGTGGGGATAATCTGGGAGGCTGGGAACCACTCTCAGAAGAAGATGACACACAGAGCCAGTTCTTCTGACATGGCTTCGATGCTAAACACAGCACTGATGAGAGAGAGACAAGGGAGACAAAGACACACGGAGGAAGCCAGAAACACAGAAGTCACTCAGCTGAGTGAACGGGCAAGAGCGTTAGTCTGTCGACTCTAGAATTTATAACAGTTTTTCTAGCTGGTTTGGTTCATTAGAGTCCATCCGAGTTAGCCTTTTCTTTTATAAACTCATGCTTCCATTAGGTAAATAACCCCGAGTTAACTAACATTCCTTTCAGTAATATCCAGTGTTTGCCTCAGTTTTCTGTATGACAAATTACCACAGATCTGGGTGCTCAGACCATGTGCTCCCTGGTCTGAGAGTCTTCTTAGGAGGTTGAAATGACTGTGTCTCTGGGACTGGAGTCTTATTTGAGGCTCAGGGTTTAGAACCTCTAGGCTTGCATTAGGTTGATGAAATTTATTTCCTGTGGCTGTTGGCTAGTGCTGTCTTGACTCCTGAGGCCACGTGCAGGTAGCTCCTGGGACTGCTCGCAACGTGGACAGCCCATGAACTCACAATATGTGCTGTGACTTCCCCTTCTTCTGAGTCCTCTCTGATTCCGTCGGACCTTTTAATTACCAGTGATGATGGGTTAGTAACCTACTCCCAGGGTCTAAACACTCAGAAGTCTTAGAGCCATCTTGAATCATGCCTCCCATGGCATCCGTGTGTAATTTGGTCTCAGTTCCTGGAAAGATGTTGTATCTGTTTATTTATACTGCTATAATAAAATACTTTAGACTGGGTAACTTACTGTGAAAGGAAATTTATTTCCCCCAGTGCTGAAGGCTGGACTCTGCCATCAAGGAGCCTGCATTCGGTATATAGTGATGAATTCCTTGTTTTGACCTTGTACAGAAGACCTGTAGCCAGTTCCCTGTAGCTCTTTACAGGCATGAATCCAGTGGTTTCCAATCTGCGGGTCATGACTCCTGCCTATCAGATATTTACATTAGGATTCATAACAGTAGCAAAATTAGAGTTATGTGTAGTAACGAAAATAATTTTATGGTTGGGGATCACCACAACATGAAGGACATTAGGAAGGCTGAAAACCACTGCACTACGCCATGCACGAAGCTAAAACCTCCAGGACTTAATATTCATGCCTAATACCGCCCTCTTAATGACATCACACTGGTGGTCAAGTGTGAGTATATGACTATGGAAAGGAGGACAGCTTCCTGCCACTCAAGTGTCATGCCAGGCTCTGTCTACTGTTCAGCTTTCTCATGAGAGGCTGCCAGAGGACCTATGCCGTGGGAAGATTAAGTGGCTGGTGCTGTTGTCCTTTCGTGGAGTGATTTGATGGCTCAAGGTTGGCCTGCTTCTCGGACTTCAGGGCCATCCCTTCCCTACACCAAGCATTTTCTATCTTCTTTGATTGTGTGGAATTGACTTTTAATTACACGAGGTTGGAAGAAAAGAACTGGAGGAAATAGGAGATGCCTGGAGAATAACCTGCCAGTGCTCTGTATTCCGAAGCCATCCTTTAAGGGACAGGAAAGGGCCATTCATCAAGAAGAGTGGTCACAAAGACTGTGGACTCCAGACAAATGCCCATCGTTCATGCCACCCAGCCTCAGGGAGGCATCAGTCTGGTACCCTTGCTGCATGGCAATCCTAGGCAACACCACCTCAAAAGAGCAAGCCTTCGTGGGTTTACATCTTGTTAGCTGCTCCCTAGGTCTCCCGGTGACAGTTTTATCCTGTTTTGCTTTGTTCTTACGTGTGCACGGCTGATTCAGAAACCATCCCTGACATGTCTCTGCAGCTGGCGCTTAGAGCATTGAGCTGATTCCATGAGGTCATTAATGTCAAACCTAAAACAATCAGCCTGTGTGGGCAACCGTGCCCAGACAGCCACAGAGAAGGCCGATGTGCCTGGCATGTTTGGATGTAACATTTCCCTTCGTTTGCCTTTACAACAGCCCCTTGGATCCCAGGTTATGAATAATGAGAATTTTACTCATGCCCTGAAAACATGACATTTGCAAATCACACCATCCTTTCAGTCCTAAGAAAATACCACATTATTCTAGCCTGACACATTTTGTTTTCAGGTAGGAAAGTGGTTATCTGTTGGCTCACCTCAGAGAGTCTACAACGGACTGAACATTATCATATTGCATAAATAATTTAGGTGCGAGTACCATTATGGGTGTAAATCAAAAGAACAATATATGCTTCCGAATTTGCAAGTGTTTGGAAATTTATATAATGTTTCATGAGGAAGTCTGTAACCTACAGAACTATTCAAATGATTCGAATCTCTCTAGCTGTTGGGAGGCATCAGCACCCAGATGCTCTGCCTTCACTGACAGATTTTAAGAAGATATACATTTACTGTGCAGAGTGGGAGGGATCTATTTTAAATGCTGGCCATGCTCACAGGCATGTCCAACCCATGGCTTTCAGACTACATGTGGCGATATGCTAGTGATGATAGCTACAAACGTGATACAGCATAACATTGTAAATTTATTTGAAACATTGTGAGGTGTGTGCGTGTGCCTGTGTGCATGCTCAAGCATGTTACATGTTCCTGCGCATGTGCACATATTTGCTTTCCTTTCGAAGCCAGGGGTCAATGTCTGATGTCATTTTCACTTGCTCTTCACGAATTTTTGGAGGGACAGGATCCCTTACTGATCCAGGAGTTCACCGGTCAGCTAGGGTGGCCGGCCAGTGAGTTTTAGGGATATGCTTGTCTCTGCCTCCCCTTACCGATACAGGCTTCCGCTCTTGGCTTTTTACATGGGTCCTGGGGATCTGAACTCTGGTCCTCATACCTGTATGGCAAACACTTTGCCAGCTGAGCTATCTCCCCAGTCCAGTCTTTTTGATAGCTCAATTGTGTGGTTTGCAGAGTATAAACGCCGTAGAGAGAGCATAGTGTCTCATTGTCAAAAAGCTGGACACGTCTAGCACATTGCTTCTCTGCGTGCATGCACCAGGACTGCCTGGTGGACAGTTGCAGCAGATGATGGGTTCCCCAACCCTACCCCAGAGTGTGTGGTCCACCGTCTCCGACTATGCCCTCACACGCTGATTATACCTTCAGAAGAACTGTGCTAAAGGACTCCTCGTGGGGAAGGCCGGGTTTCTCTTTAGGGAAGCGTTATCATGGAGCCTCTCTGTGGATACATTTGACTCCCACTTAAGCTAGTTCTGATTCCAAAGGCAAGCCCAGTGAGTAGCAAAGGAAGGGCAAGCTGTGTGTGGTGAAGGAACTGTTGCTGTTGGAGTTGGGTTCATGAACGGCAGAAAGAGGGTGAGAGGGTAAGGATGAAATCACAGTAATGGTGATGTCAGACTTAGAGTAGATGTAGAGACTAAGAGATTTCCTGAGGCCAGGAAGGGCCAATGAATTCCCAGAAAACTTTGACATCCCATGTTCAGTTTGCGTTCCCTGAGCTGTGCTTATTCCCATCTGTCCTGTACCCCCACCTCCACCACTCACCCCAATATTTGCTGGAGACCTGACATGTGGGGTAGGATCTGGCTGACTTTGGGATCTGACCACTTTCCTGTAGCTCGTCGGTATTCCCCAGAGCTCTGCCCCTGCCCCAGCCTCCATGCTGAACTCAAGCTGGGCATTAGCAGGACCCATTGAGAGTCCCTTCCTGTCAGCTCCCCAGTAGCAGCCTATAAGGCAGACTTTCAGAGTGTGAACATGGCTAGGGATGGTTTCTTTTTTTAATTTTATTTTTACTTCTGTGTGTACACAGGCGTGTAGGTACCCATGGAAGCAAGAAGAGAGTGTAAACTCCCCTGGAGCTGGAGCCACCAGTAATTTTGACTCTCCTGATGTGGGTGCTGGAAACGGAATTCTGATCCTCTGCAAGAGCTTTTATCCCACGAGCTGTCCGTCTCTAGGGGACATTTTCTTGCCATTCAGATATCAGGACCCACCCAGCCCTTTTGGCTAGAATGGGGGAGACAGGGTGCTGAATCTAGGTGCTAAAGAGAGGACCAGTGGACACTGGTAGACAGGTAAGTTCGGGAAAGAATTCTTTATGGAACCAAAGAGTGCTCTTTTGGTACTTGGGGTGAACAAGGCAGGGAAGGATGGCAGCAGTCAGAAGGCAGATAATAGGGTAAATGCGCACAGAGAGAAAGGTGGCCTTTGCCCAGGAGCCCTCAGAGAGAGCTGGTTCCTCTAGGTCTATTGGTCCCTCTAAACCAGTTCCTAAGAGGGGCAAGTGTGCATTTGGCAACATGTGTGGGTAGCTTGGGGTGTGACAGGAGGGGCCGCTGCTGACATTTATGATAGAGGCCAGGGAGGCTGCTGGGTACCCTGGTGTGCACGAGACAATCTGATGATACATACCACCTGGTCCCAGAGCTCAAGGTCCTGATGATGCTTACCACCTGGTCCCAAAGCTCAGGGTCCTGGTGATGCAGTCCCACCTGGTCCCAGAGCTCAGGATCCTGGTGATGCTTACCACCTGGTCCCAAAGCTCAGGGTCCTGGTGATGCAGTCCCACCTGGTCCCAGAGCTCAGAGTCCTGGTGATGCTTACCACCTGGTCCCAAAGCTCAGGGTCCTGATGATGCAGTCCCACCTGGTCCCAGAGCTCAGGGTCCTGGTGATGCAGTCCCACCTAGTCCCAGAGCTCAGGGTCCTGGTGATGCAGTCCCACCTGGTCCCAGAGCTCAGGGTCCTGGTGATGCTTACCACCTGGTCCCAAAGCTCAGGGTCCTGGTGATGCTTACCACCTGGTCCCAAAGCTCAGGGTCCTGGTGATGCTTACCACCTGGTCCCAAAGCTCAGGGTCCTGATGATGCTTACCACCTGGTCCCAAAGCTCAGGGTCCTGGTGATGCAGTCCCACCTGGTCCCAGAGCTCAGGGTCCTGATGATGCAGTTCCACCTGGTCCCAGAGCTCAGCGTCCCAGTCGTTCCTGAGGTGTGGCTCTGAATCTTTAGTGTCAGCATCACCGGGGACCTGTGAGTTTGTGAGTCCGTGGGCACTGAGCCCATCTATCAGACTTTCTAGTTAGATGTCGCAGGTCTGGGCCAGGCCAGGCATCCACTGCAGGTCATTCCAGGGCCAGCCACCACCGAGAGCACCTGCTGAGGTGGGAAGCTGAGGTCCCGGAGTGGTCTGGACAGTGAGAGAGTGGCCGGATTCAGCTTCACACGAGGACATGATGGATTGCGGACTTGTCGCTTTAAGTCTGGAGCTCACAGCCTAGGGAGTCAGGCCAACCTCTCTCCTAGATCTGACAGGCCCCAGCCTGGAAGGGTAACTGACAGTCAGGTCTCTGGGGATATGAATGGGGGCAGATAAAGGAGATACAGCCACAATTTCCCCTAAAGCCCTGGTTCCCTAGCAGACAGCGAGAATGACAGAAGATAACAAACTCTCCCCCTGTCCCTGAAGACCCTGACTGAGCTGTGTCAATCTCCTGATAGCCTGTAGCCACACCGTGAGCTATTTTTGTATCCTCCTGGGAAAAGCAGGGGAGGGTGTTATGAATATCAGACTTCTTTGTTCTGAGACTGCATTGTGTGTATCCTCTAACTCTTTCAAAAGAGAGACCCCCTATAAAGGGACCCCCTCCCCCGATACATACAACAAACAAAAATTGGCTCCCGGGTCTGCCAGGGATGTCCAGAGTCTGAGGAAGACAGATCCCATTCACATCTGTGCTTTTTCAAGGGTGAAAGGTTAGAGCTTCCTCCACTTCCTGCTCAAGCTGGGAAAGATTTTATTTTCCACTTTAAAGGTACATTTGATATTCAGTTTAACCCGACTTTATGAACATATCAAGGTGGCTGTACATCCTCTCAGGGCCACGCATCGGCCATTCTTTCCCCATCAGAACCCACTGTATTCTCAAAGCCTCACCCAACAACTGTTGAGCTTTAAACTAGTTTAAGCTGGCCTGCTCTTTGCTCCTCTCATCCCTTATCCCATTAAGAGAAGTTCCTTTGTATAAATGCCGGGTGAACTGGACTCTGAGGAGAAAACTTTGTTATGCCCGAAAAAGGACAGTATTTTCCCCAACTTTTTTATTCTCATGTGAAGAGGATTTCTACAGTGAGGAGTAGCCTGAGGCATCTCGGATCTTTGCCAGGCTGCTGGGAGACCACAGGTACACACGAGGGCCATTGGATCAGCATCTCCCAGCAAACCAGGTATCCCAGAACATGGAGAGCCCTGTCCAGTCCTTGGGGCAGCCATTAAATTCTATTGATTCACCGCTACTCTTAGCATTCAGACCCACTTCTTGGACTCTCTTTCTCTTCCTCCCTTCCTCTCTCTCCCTCCCTCCTTCCCTCCCTCCTCCCTCTCTCTCCCCTTTCTCTTCCCCCCAACAAATAAACTCTCCACTGAGTGCTGTCTCTGTCTCCCACCCACCAAGACGGGCACCTTGGCTCCACCCACCAAGTCCTCTCTCTCTCTCTCTCTCTCTTTCTCTCTCTCTCTCCATCTCACAACATCTACAACTCCATTTGTGGGGGAAGTATGAGTGTGTGTTCTTCTAGAATGACGTTACTGACCCATTCAGGTCGTTTGGAGTTCCCCAGCAGCAAAGGTAACTTCAGATTGCTCTAGCCTCTGTCCCTGGTTGCTGACTTTCTCCTTCTCGTGATGTGCGATCTTGATGAGTCTGTGAAGTGTGCTGGTGGGGGTGGGGAGGGGGTTAATGATCTCCACTCTGCTGCTGAGGGCTACAGCTCCCGAGAGGTGAAGGGACTTCCCAGGGCTGCTCACAGCTTAGCAAGAGGTTGGACCTTGTGTTCTCCTTGCACTCCTCTGGAGCTCCAAGAGTGAACACAAACAAGGGCTCTGTCAGCTGGAGTGAGGGCAGAGCCTCTTGTCTGCATCATGCCGTGTCAGCCCTCAGGGCTAATGCACTAAAGCAAATCATTTCTGCTTGCTTGCTGTGTGCATAGGGCTGTACCGGGAATGAAAAACAATTCAAACGCTCGGTTTCTGTGCCTCTCTAAGAACACAGCTAGACTATGCTACCAGAACTGGGTGCTGTGTGAAAGCCAGAGTTATGTTTTAATTTTTAACTACTATGCCTAAGACATCCATGAAACAAAAATGTCTCTGACCTATAAGCCCCTTGCCCAAGGACAGATAGTTCCTAAAATGCTGGAGGCTGTTGTTTATGGGAGATAACAAGTCATATGTTTTCACTACCCTAAACAAATTTGTTTGACCCAACTACACATGTGATGTGCTTAATCACACGTGGGTGGGATATGTGTCAGGATGTAAACTTGCCCCTGATTGGACCCAATGGGAAATTCAGTGAATTGTGGGTTTTGCCTTTTTAAGTCCCTGAAAACTGTGACTGGGGGCCATTTTCTGGAAACCCAGAGATGGATCTGGCTGGAGAATCCATTAACCTCGCCAGTATTTAATTAAAGCTTGCTTCAAATTTGACTTTAGATCGTGGTAGTGGTCTTATTCTCCGCGGGTAGGATTACCAGCTGTATGGTAGCAGGTTCTAACCAGGGGTGTGTTATGGGTGTGGCAGGTGTGACATAGCAGTGTAGGATGGTGTGTGTATAGGGGGGCTGCCTCTGGTCCCTCTTGAACACAGTAAGCTAAAAATTAGTAAGGACACCATGTACCTTAGGCAAAAGCAGAGCCTCCAAGAGCTGAACCTGGCTTGGCTGTTAGCTGTGAGGACTTTAGCAAGTCACTGCCTATCTGACCTCTGTTTCCTCTCATGGGGAAGGGAGGGCTAATATCCAGCTCACCCATCTGTAAAATGGTAAGAGGCACAGGATGGGGGCTTGAGGGATGAGTTGGTCATCAGACTTGTGTTGAGCTTTTAACATTCTTAGGTCAGTTGCCAGCATTTTAAAGGCAAAAATTGTCACATGAAAATTTGGACTTTATCGATGAAGCAGGAGGATCTGTCTGGCAAGACTTCAGCCATAGCCATGGCTGACGAGGCTGAAGGTTGAGGCCCCCTTTCAGGTGTGTCTAACCTATTATGGCATTGACACACAACATTGTCACCTACCAAGTTCACATGGGAGAACTGTGCAATAAATTGAAAATAAAAATCAAGGAAGAATCTCATAATGCTTTGGGTATGTTTATGACTGTGTTGTACTGCCATCATAACTCTCTTCCACAGCATGTGGCCTGTGGGCTGTGAGTGGACATGCCTGTGTTGTACCGCCATTATAGCCCTCTTCCACGGCATGTGGCCTGTGGGCTGTGAGTGGACATGCCTGGGTTGAGACACTCCTGTCTGTCAACACTGTATCACAGTGGACCTGCTTTGTGTAGCTTACTCCCTGGCCCTTTGAAGGTTTTCAAGTCTTGTGTTACACACGTATAATGTGCTTTTATGACACGATTATAGTTTAAGAGTTCTAGAATAACATCTAGACTGAAAACAGTGAGCACCAGCTACCTCTCCAGCATCTGTCGGGTAAAAGCCCAAAGCTACACACCAGATTACATCAGGAACCTGTGTTTGTACACCTCCAGCAACAGCCAAAACACGAGGGAGGAAGATTGTGATTGACAGGAGCACTAACAGGGAAAATCCCACTTTTTTGGCATCTTCGGCTCCAGGTTCACTTCAGGGGACTCTACTGACCTCAGCCATCCATAAGAGCTATGCATCCCTTCGAGGGAATCCCCACGCCCTCCTGGGGAACCCATTTACACGACCTGTGCCCACAGCTCCCCTGAGCTGCAGCTCTGTGCACTGGGCCAGAGAGCTGGCAGCCATAATGAATACACAGAATGTGTGGGAGCGCCAGAAGAGCAGCAGCCAGCATACCCCACTCAGTTCTTCTAATGAGATCTAATGAATCGGAGACACCAATTCCAATAGGAGCCATAGTGCTAAGCAGCAAAATGCCTTGGGGTGAAGGTGGGTCAGGTTGAAGGGCTCCCTAAAGGATGTTGACATGGGGGCTTGGGGGGGCGCTAATTCTGACAGTCCCATGGGAGAAAACAGTTTGCAGAGCAGTTAAAAGCCTGGGGTTCAGGAGAAGAACAGAGTATGAGAAATGGATCACTGAGAATAAATTATGTTTAATTCAAATAAGAGGCAGGCCCACCCAGCGGCCCACTGTAGAAGTCAGAGGCGAGCCTGGCCACTTGGAACGTGGTTACAGTTTGGCTCTCAGAAAACAAAGGCTCTTCCTAAGTGTACAAAGAAAGATGGAAATAGTAGTGGGTGAAAGCCAACGACGGGGCTTCAGACAATTCATTTCAATTCTATTCCGTTCAAGCAGGTATTTACTATCCTAACTCATTTTGAAATGCTGTATATTTCACATTTCTCATTGTGGTTATGAATAAAGGAAGTCCCTCCATTGGAAGGTGTGTGGCAATTCTTCCCCTTGCCGGAATGCTTTGAGGCATTTGTTTGCATGCACCCTTGGGTCTCCAGTGCAAGATGAAGAGGATGCTGTGGGCTGCAGAGAGCCAGGGTCACGGTGGATGGGTGCTGCCCACAGATCATCTCTGCAGGCGAGGCTCAGCCGATGAAAGACTGAGGGGTGTAAGAGCAGCTGACACAGCATACTGCGGAGTAATCCTTCTTTTATGCTCTGCGCTGGGCAGTCTGCTGAAAGCATGCTTTGCAGAGACAAGCCTTTCATGAAAGAGTTCATGGTAGAGGTCAGAAGAAGGTCATGGAGGTGTCTAAATATGGAAAATAAGAGCCATGAGGAATGATTAAGGGAGTTCTCAGAGTGGACCTGGACTGAAAACACCCCTGGGACCTTGTCACAAATGAAGATTCCGGCCCTTCACAAGAACTGAGTCAGGATGGCTAAGGGTGGGCCCCCACAACCTCTGAGGCTTTCCATGTGAGGATTAACTTGGCTATTTTAAGAACTGCTCTCAATTTTGGTAAAAAGATTAAAAGAGTCCTCTAAATTCTTCATATCTTTACTCTCTTAATGTCCAAAGATAATGTAGGGAATTTCTCTTTAGAGAATGAGACATGCACCTGTTTCAGGATGGGAGGCTTTGGCCTCCCAGCTCTCCTTCAGTAAGAATGATCTTATCCATGGTTCTGCCTCTGGAGGAGCTGGGAGCATGGCGGGCCTGATAGGTGTTACTGTGGGGTTGCAATGGCTTCATCTGTCCTCGGAACATTTCCATGGTCTGATGAGGATATCTGGAGAACCCCTGTTTCAGTGACGAGTGTGGCTGCTTCTCCTGTCCCTTTGCTTCCCAGGCTCGTGTTTTTCTAGTGGAGAGACAATGCCGGACAGGTGGATTTGATGCAGGGCATGCATTACTGCTTTCACCCTTGGTGGGCCTCACCCTAAGCTGACACTGTGCCTGTCCCTACAGCTCCTGCTCCTTCTAGACGGTCCCTTCTGAACAGGTCAGTGCAGTATGGTGACTTGGACAGTGAACCCACCATGCTACACTTCCTTTGCTGTGAGGTGGGGCTGCTGTTAAATTGCTGTACCCTGTGGGATTATGGACAGTGAAGAATCATGGTTCACTTCAACAGTAGATCTGCCTGAGACCCTGAAATCAGAAGGCAGTCAAG